TGCCATTTCTTCTTTTTTCGACATATTATTGTTACCTTTGGCTTTTTCTTTTCGCTGCAAGAATTGTCTGCAGAATGCCACGTGGTGAGGTCTCTTGCACCGATAACAACCTCTTTGTTCACGGCAGTCCTTTGCTATATGACCTCTTCTCAAACATTTATAACAAGCTTTCACTTCTCGAGCTCGGTTCCGCCGTTGTTCTAATGTCGTAAATTTTAAACATTTATCACTCCAATGGTCTGCTGAGCAAAAAGCGCATCTCGGAGTTAATGCTGCGTTCTTTCCACACATTTTCCCGTTTGAGGTTAAAGCCGACAGTGCAGAAGTGTTTTTCAGTTCCGACCGATCTTCCATCTGTCTTGTTGACCTTTTGCTTCTGCCATATGTTGATTCGCCAAGAATCCTATTTACGCTTTCTCTTTTCCGTACAATTTCTTCCAAATGAAATCGTAACTTCATAAATTCCACGGTTTATCATGTATTTTTGCCTCGTAAAGCTCCAATAATGCCCAGCGCGGGAGCTTACTTTTAATCATCATATCGACATGCTGTAGGTCAATATTTTCGCCCATATTTTCCAATTGCACTAAAATTCTTTCCATTGTCTCTACAAAATCCCGAAGTCCACGCGTATTGTCCACAGCTTTCAAATTCTTTAATTCATCATGCAAAGTATGGCGAATGATATCAACATCTCCAAATCGTCTCTTCAAGACGTTCAATACCACTGCATAATTATCAGCATTAGCACTGTATCCAGCCACCGCGCGGTAAGCTCGATCCTTTAGACATCCCATCAAATAAGTCAGCTTTTGTACCGGTGGTATCGGTTGAGAATCAACTGCAGCTTCGAATAGCGCCCAGAACTGAGGCCAATCTTTAGGATTACCCATAAAAGGTTTTAGCTCAATTTTCGGTAATCGTACATTTTGAACACCATTGCGCATCACTGGTGTTGGCAATCCATTGTCCGAATTCTCCGCAGGTAGAGAATTGGCATCCATTCTTAGTAATGCTGATCGAATTATATCTTCCTGAGACTGCAGTTCTACCATAGCAGCAGCTCGTCCTTCCTCCAACACTTGAATAAAACCTGCTTCCGATTCCGCTTCCGCACGGTATCGCGATTCTTCTTCGACTCTTTCTTCTCCTCGAAGTTTTTCGATATACTCCAACCATCTGTTATTCAGATTTTC